AACTCCACATATCGTGCTTGCAACAACAGAGTTTCAGTTAATGCGCTGCTGTATCGGTTACGCTGGTACCTAGCACTAGTTTTTCCAGTGTGTCATCTCCATCCCAAGCTGAAGTGCCCCCGGTGTCTAAGGCATGCACAAACAATAAGGAGTTTAGGGTAGAAAGGATGCGGGCAGTAGGCAGAGCTGTGAGGACCGGTTTCAGAATGAAGATTTGATCTCATATTAAATGAAAACATAGAAGTTTTTATTTTGATCGGGACACACAGACACACACGCACACACACACAAATTCATACCTCATAAACTTCTGAGGCTCCTGGGAAACCCTCCCTGGCTTGCCTTGCCCTTCAGTGAGGGAGGCTAATAGAGATTCTTGAAGGGAAATCCCTTTTCTTTTCTTTGGTAGCCATGGAAAGACTCATTAAGCATTCTCTAGTCCATTCTTTCCCAGACCCTGACTTTGCTTGGCCCAAGTGCTCAAGCCCAGGGAGTGGTGTCCGGAACTCCACTGAGTATGCGTTTTGCCCCTCCTTCCCCCAGGCTCAGTGTGGGAACAGCCTTGCCCCTTAGATGATGGACTCAGAGGATAGTCATCCGGGGATGAAGCTTGCCTTTTCACTTGGTGGATGATTCCATTCTCAAAATACTACCTGCGGAAGTTTAGGGCTGCATCCACCTGTGCTGCAACACTGCTCCCCCTGGAGGGGGCCGGGATGAGAAAATCTCTCTAAAACAGTCTTCCCTATCTGCCAGTGACTACTTTTCCCTAATAATGCAGTCCATTGGAAACCCTGCCTCACACGTCATACTCATCTTCGCTTTTGATCCCTTAAATAACAAGCTCCTTTCTCTCTCCCCGCCTGTGGTTTACCTTCCAGTTGTAAACCGTGCTGGTGAGGCGCTGGGACAGCTTCACCTTCTGTGGAAGTGGGGGTGGGGAGAGTTACGAAGGAAAAGGGCAATGCAGGACACAGGCAAGTAGGGCTCGTGACTTTTCCCCCTTTCATTGTGTGTGTCCACTGAGCTGTCCTATTTCTGTTTTGTAATGGGTTCTTCTGTGGCAAGCTGACCTTTTGGCTGAATAGGTCAAACTCCCACTGAGAGCTAATCCTCATTCTTCCTGGAGTTTGTACATCCCTGAAGGTGACGAGCACTGCTTAGGAATATGGCTGGAGTGTGGGGTCTATTTCCCGAAAGCGGGATTGTCTTTTACTGCACTGAATTAATTCTCAGAGACCACCTCACAAGGTCATACAGGAGAGTCTAGATTAGGACATTTTTGCCAATGTAGTTGAGGGGCAAAATGAATTTTTCAGATACATATTTAAGATTGTGGTTACCTTCCATGTCTTCTGTTGTTTAATGAGAGAAAGGCCAAATGCATAGTCCTAATGTCTTATGATATCATTTCAGATTTTGGAGACAATCAGAATTTCTTTAATTGATTTTTACAGTCCTTCTCCCTATATATCTTTTCCAATTTAAAGTATCTCAAAACTCTAGGTGTTTTATTTTTAACCCTGAAAAAACATGATAGTAGTGTTGTGGTGTTTGTTGATAATTGTGTGCTGGGCCTAGGTTTATTCTAAATTGCTTAAAATTTTCTTTTGTACTGTTTACTAGGTTTTATAATACTAGTTGCCTTACAGTAGTTAGCAATTTCCAGCATCAAATAGTACTCAGTAAATGCTGAATCAAGTTTGAAGTTGAATTGCCATATTGCTATGGTTTGATCTTTTTTTCTTTTATTAGTTTGTATAAGCTGCTCAACTGTTGCAATTCTCACTTCTCACTAGGGTTAGGGACATGATCTTCGCAGATAGGGGATTATATGTTCTATTTATTTAGCAATGTGCTAGGCGTGTTTTTGGTTACTTTGGTTAGTGTTCTTTAAATTTCGAAAAGTAGTGTCTTTTAATTGAACAAACAAGTAAATGAAATATGTCAGTAGATCAGGTGAAACGGTGACCTATTCAGCAATGATAAGTGTACATTGTGTCTGGGCGACCAAATGGTTTTAGACACTGTCAACTTCCAAAATACAAAAATCTGAGAGAGCTTCATAAGTGTGTATTACTTTTGTGAGAATGATGGACCTCATTGAAGAAATGCCTCTTTGGTTTTGCTTTTGGCATTAATGATACTCCATAAACACAATGAGATTAACATAGAGGAACAAAATAACCATATTTGCATTGTTCCTGACTTATTAGATTATTGTTTCAATTCTCAAAATGTCAAATGCAATAGGATAAAAAGTACAAGATGAGAAGTACATATTTAACATCTATTCAGTTACCAATAATGCTAGAGTCAGAGCTGGGCTTCTACCAGGGGCATAATGGGCTCCTGTTTAACATATTTATGTTGGTTATAAAATTAGGAACTGTCATTACAGCCCCACATCACCTGCATAAGTGCAAAACATATAAATCAAGAGAAGTTCCAGTGCCATAAAAATGCCATTGACTAGAATAGCATGAAACCACTTACAAGACACTTGTGTGTTATGCTTGCATGTACTGGGATACACACGCAGATTTCTAGAGGATCTGAAGAACAAAGAACAACTATGTAGGTCGAACTCACAGATATAAGACCTAATGCAGACTGGTGGGATCCCCAAGCTGGATAGTAAGTTTTTTAAATAAAATCTCTAAATATGTATGCATTAGCAACATTTACTTAGAGAACAGCCTGAGCCCTAAGTGAGGAAAAGAAAGGCCATCAGTGGCCAGGCTTAAATAACCCCTACTGCATCCTGCTAAAGCCAACTGTTTCCGTGCTCTAGAAGGCAGGTGAGCTGCCAAGAAGTATCTACCAGAGCATGCTTCTTGGGCCTGCTAGTAAATAAACATGCTCCTTATGTTTTCTGTGATGTTTTAGATTCCTCTATGGGTTGCTGGCTGTTGTTCTCCTGGCCCCATCTTAATCCAGTTCTTTGTAGAATAGTCTATGTTCTCTAAAATTAGTCCATTTTCTTTTGTGAGGTGCAGTGGTTCCTTTTGAACTTTGTAATTGGAAGTCCTGAAAAGCCCCCCAAATTATGAACCATTAATCAGGAGCTTTCTTGATCCTAATTACTGCCTCAAAAACAGAGTGGACACTTTTGAAGTTTTTCAACTCCCCCCTTCTCCCTCCCCAAAGTTCCCCCAATCTTAAAAAAAAAAAAAGTCTGCAGATTTTATTCATGTGGGATCATTCACACCAAGCTACCATAATGTGCAATTAACACTCTAGAAACTGAAAACAGTATTCAGCAAGACAGCTGCATTATCAAAAATGCCAAAGGAGTTTTGAAGGGAGTAATGTGCATGTTAGAATAGGAAATTAATCAGAAACACACACACACACACACACACACACACGTACTCTCTTAAGTATATCTGAATATTAAAATTTTAAAAATCCTGTGTCTGTGCTTATAGTAAAGATTAGTCAGGATAGAAAACTGATTTTTCTAATTTAAAATTATTAATTGTGTATTTTGCTTCTGAAGCAAATAAGAAAGTTGGAATAGAGATCTCTAAGATCCCTTCCAGCTGGAATATTCTTTGATAATAATCACTCTTCAATTATATTTTATAAATTTTCCCATTGAAAAAAAATGCCCCCTTTATTTCCTCTTTCCTGTAATAATGGTACTTAACACTCATGCTATTTTCAGAATGCCTCTCAGACATTGCCGACATGAAGTCACAGTTGCAGGGGTAAACTGCCGACTCTTGCACAGCACAATAATCATAAGTACCTTTATATTATAATCCCTACTAAGCTGTGGGTCCAACTGACTGACTTTGTAACTGAAATGAAGCAGAATTATCCCAGCCAACATTTTGCTGGAATTTTCTCGTTAACTAGCTTGAAAGTGTTTTTAAAGGTGAGAAAGTAGGAGATTTTGATTTTATTTTCAATTCGTAGTGTCTTGGTTTGAGAGACCAGAAGTTTGTGGTAAAATTTTCAAGAAAAGCAGGAAGACATGGAGAATTTACTTGTTAGAAATATGGAAAAGACTTCAATATTTTCTTTCCTAAATTACTGGAAAGCAAACTGATTTTTATATTTGAGAACTGAAAATAAAAGGGGGAAGGAATACTCAGAACAGATTTAAAAGCAAATTGTGACCTCATGCAAAAAAAAATTGTTAAGAGAAGACCCTCAATTCTGGATCCCACAAAAATCATGCATTAAGCTCACTTTTGTTAAGGATTGTGGGGGCTCTTTGAGTGCAAGCGCCTGCAGATAACAGGTGTAGGGTAGGCCGAGAAGAGAAGTGACTGGAAGTTAGTAGGAGAACAGGAGTATTCAGATGAGAAAACAGTCGCTGACCTCATAAGGCGCCTGCTGGGGCCAAAGGCCTGTGGGGCTTCTCAGCAGTCCTGTAAGAAGAGTTATGCGAGAATGCTCAGTAAATATGAAAGCCAGCCGTCCTGGGACACTTCACACTAGTGCAAACAGTCATTAATGAGACTCTCTTGTCCAACATGTTGTGCTTATTAAGTTATGATAAAGTTACTGCATTAGAACATTAAAAAAAAAAAAATTTCCTGTTTGCTTTTTCCTAGCCTGGAGGATACGAAAAGTTTATGTTTAATCTTGAGGGAAAAGGCAGTAAGTGTATACTTTAAAAATATCTAAATTTTAAGAGAAAGAGTTTGCTAGTTTATTTTAAAGAAATGTGAACATTCATATGTTTTTGCTCCAGTATAGGAAAAACAGTCCAAAATGAAAATTTTTAAAAAAAGCAAAAAAGCCCTGGATGTGGTTTTTAATGTTTGTAGAGGTTGCTGTTCTGAGTTGAAAGTTCAACCTAGGTTCTTCTTATGCTCAGGCAACACAGAACCAGGGTCAACACTGGGTTGTGTTTCTCTGAGATTTCGTTGTGTAGTAACTAGCTAGTGTTGCAATTAGAGAGAAATTAAGCTGAAGGTGTGAATCAGAGCTCTGACTTAATTTTTCTTTCTTTCTTTCTTGTTTTTTCTCTCTTTTTTTTTAAGTTATAGGTGCACAACGAAGGAGAAGCCCCAGTGCACTGGCCATTGAAGTATTTGAAGCACATTTGGGAAGTCATATTTTGCAGGTACCTTTAAAAGAAAAAGAAACTTATATTTTACTAAGAAAAAATGAATACGTTTAGTCTTTTTATTAAAATGTGTTTTTTTTAAATTTCAGCTATGTATATGACTTGTTATTTTATCTTGGAATTCTGCCATTCTTATGAATTTATTTTTTTCTTTTTAGAAAGCCATCCCTTGAGAGAATATTAATGAGAAAGGGAGGGCAAGTATTATCTGTGCTGTAATAATTGAGATGAATTGCACCATTCAGTTGACGCGCAGTGTATAGTAGCTGTTCCCAGAGTGACTGTGTGTGTGCTTCATTTGTAAGTGGATATATGTGTGTCTTTGGACCTATATAGTGTTTTTGGAAGAGCAAAATGTTGTGACAGTAATGTGACATTTTTATGTGTTGCCAAATTTCAGTTCTTCTTTGCTTCAATGTGTATTCATAACTGCTTCCAATCTTAATGTTTGCCCCCCAACAAATTACAGACTTTCTCAGGGTAAAGTTTTGAAGTATGCTTTTTAAGTAAAAGGAGACAAATAATAATAATTGATTTTGCAATGAGTTTCATGACAAATAAATGTGAGGCTCACTAGGATGGGACTGCAGTTACTTAGTCCAAGAGAAGATTCCTCCCAGACTGAGCATCTCACTCACTCAACACTGTTTTTCTTAAGACTTTGCCATCAGTTCAACACATCGATGGATAATTGTTCTATATTGTTTCTGCTTCCAGGATAAATGTTGATGTGGCCAAAGCTGCTATTTTTACTATGTTAGATACATTTTTAACATAGAATTAGAGAAACAGACATGTTTGGGATCTTTAGGCAGCTTATTTGAAAAAGATGGCTATGTTTTCTTAGATCAACTTTGGGGTAAAAATAAAGGTAAGCGCCAGATTCCTGTCGATGCAAAGTTTTAAAAAAATGGCTTTGAGGGTCCTTTCATTTTTTCGATGGCCAAAAGTAGCATTGAACCTTGCATATTATTGCTGAAAATATGTACCCCAGAAACTGTTATCATCTGGTTCTCTGTGGTCAAATCCCGGTGATTCTCTGAAGCGGTTCCTTGGCTGGCAGCTTCAGAATCACCTGAGACACTTGTTGAAAGGACACATACCTGCTCAATCAGAATCGTCAGGGTGAAGTCCAGGAGTTTATGATTTTTAACGACCTTTTGAGATAATTTTGATGTTTCCTTAGGTCTGAGCTGTCACAATTCACATTTGCAGATTTAAGGCCCTGAAAAGCCTTATTTTGATTATTTTTCTTTCTTGTGATATTCCTCATTTCTCCCCTAATATCTATTAAGGTCCCATACAACTGATGTGTCTTGAACTACACTTTAAGAGATGCTATTCTGTTGTGCACAAAGAATTTTGAATTATCTGTGCAGTAGATTACAGGAATACAGAACGGACATTTCTTTCTAGATCTTCGAAATTCTTATTTCCCTCTTTCCTGTACATACTTGGTTTAGAATCTTCTTTATAAGTTTTGTATGAGCCATGCCATGTGTATATTGTTAGGTTCTAGTGGGATTCAGGATGACTCTTGTTTATATTCTGAAGCAGTCAGTGCATAAAACATAGTCAGTGAAAGAAATGATGCAAACACTATCTCCAAATTATTATCCTCTGAGTTATTTCTGGAAATTTGACTCCAAAGTCCTCAAGGGAGGGTGACTTTGGAGCCGCAAGAATTTAAAACTAATTTAAAACACGAAATTTAGGAGTTTGAATTGAACATAAGCTTAATGTAAAAATATACTATAGAAGGCAGTCCCCAAATGCCACTTCAGCATTAGGCGTCATTGAGAGAATAGGGGATCTGCAATGAGGCTGCTGAGCTCTTCTGTTTTTTGGGTTGGTCACAACTGACTTAGACAACGTACTGTAAGAGAAACATAGACAGCTGGATGTCATTTGGAGTAGAATAACCAGACTGGTGCGTGAGCTAGAAATGTTACATGAGGAGTGGCAAAGGGCTCGTTGAAGTTTAGTTTGGAAAACACATGACTTAAAAGGGATGTCATCTCTCTATATTTGAAGACCTCATGTGAAAAAAGACTAGATGTATTCTATGTGGCTTCAGAGTGTGGAAGAGAGAAAGGGGTGAAAACTGAAGAGAAAAAAATCACCTTCATACAAGAAAACTTCTAACTAGGAATGGCCACATTTGGAATATGTTCAAAGCCTTTGGCTTTAAGGGGAAGTATAAGTGGCTTGGTAGGGATGCATTCAAGAAAGTCAGGCATCCAAATATGGTTGCATCAGATGATCTTGAAATTTTCATAGAAACTGAAACTTCTTATCATTTGATTCTAACACCAGTACTTGTGGAGTGGAAGAGCTGTATATACTCTTCTAAATGAAATATTAGAATTGTGGGTAGGCAGAGGTTGGGAAGTAGTAGTAACAATAAGGGCCTCCTCTAAGCTATCTAGTTATCTTGCTTCCTAGCAGGGGAACTCTTGAGCCCATAGACCCATTTCTGTACCACATTCAACACTATCTCAATGGTCTGCAAGGATAAGGTGGTTTCAGTATTTTCCTTCAGGAGGGCCATGATTGAATTACATTGATTCATGGGGACTGGGATGAATTCTTTCTTCCCTCTCTTCTACCTTTCTTCACTTGCAAATATCTGAGAAAAACCTGTGCGGTCAACAAGGTAGGCAGGGTCTCTAACCTGACAATTTATCTTCATTACAAAAAAAATTTCAAATACTCAGTAGAACACAGAATTTGCTGTAGTAGGCACATGGCTGCTGTCCTTAACTAGCATGCAATCTTTTGGGGAAAGAGGAACCAGGAGGCCTCAAAGTGAGAAACATCACACTGGTCAAGTACAATGGGGCTACAAAAGAGCGAGGCTCTGAATTTGCCACAAAGCATCAAAGAAGGCTTCTCAAAGTTGTTGATGGATGATTAGGAGTTTATTAGGCAAAGAATATTCCAATCAAAGGGAATGTCAAACACAAAGGCATGGGGACAAGTATTAATAGATCTTGTTTGGGGATTGTTAAGGTGCTTGATTTGATGACTGCTTCACATACAGAGGGGAGTATGTAAGAGAAGATTGAGAAGTTGTATGAGCCATAATGTAACAGGCCTGCTGAGCCAAGCCAGGATTCTGCAACCAGTGATGAGCCTATGGAGAAGGCTTTCATACAAGAGAGTGACAAGATAAAGATTTGGTTTGTTTCTAGAGTTATTATCAAAATACAGTGTGTAGGAAGTCTTTGAGTTGTGAAAGGCTGATATAAAGAGACTATTTAGGAAATTATTACAATAGTCCAAGAGTCAAAATGAAGATCTTCTCCAAGATAGAGGCTCTATGAATGGAGAGGCAGGTATGAAATTGAGATCAAATTATTGGCATATGGTAATAAATTAGATGTGAAAGGCTAGGGGATGACAGGAGTTAATGATCACAAGTTTTCTAGATTGGTAGCTAGATGTCTGATGATACTTTTCCCTGAGAGAGGTGAAAGGGATATGCTCTTAAATAGCCAAGCTGGTAAGAGAGTAAGCAGTTAGAGTCCTGAGTCTGATCCTCTAGAGCAAGATCTAGTCTAGGGCTGAAAATAGGGATGGGAATTACAAATCACTACTGTTTAGATGAATGATAGTTCAAATCAAGCAGTGAGTTACAGACCATGGAACTGATGTGAAACAAAGAGAAAAGAAGGTCGGGGAGAGACAACCTCAGCATATGTCATCACTTAAGATGCAAGTAGAAGATGAGAAAGGAGTAGACAGGAAGGAAAGAAGAAACCACAGGATTTGATTTTGTTTAGGGAAGGAGTATTAACAATATCAAGGTGGCTGAGGATAAATCCTTTAGTAGGATACATACTGAAGAGATGTCATAGGTTTTGTCAATTGAAACAGTTGCAGTAAAGTATTAGGTGCAAAAAACAAACCTAAAGAGTGGTATAAGGTAAAGAAGTATCTGGATGTTTGTGGTAAGGAAGGGAGGGAGATGAGAAGGGAATGTGGAGGGATAATTTTGTTCTCAGTGTTGTTAGAGTATATTTACATGTCTGAGATTCATGAGGTCAAGCATTGGCCAATTAAATGCTCTTTAGCAATCAGCTTTTTTAAAATCAATATCTTGTGGTCATATCTGTATTAACAAAGTATAATGCATACTATGGATGCATCATCATTTATTTAACCATTTTCCTATCATCAAATATTTTTATTATATTTATTTTATTATATCTATAAATTTGCATTTCTAATGCGAATACTAAGTAAGGGGCAAGTACGTGTGTGTCTATTTCAATTAGAAAAAGCCTAATCTGCATTGATTTTAGCTTATATTTATTGAATTTTTGGTATGTATTAAACTCTATGTATAGTGCCAAGTTCTCCTCCTATATCATTATTGAATACTCAAAATTTGTACCTGTGAGATAAGTGCTCTGATTATGCAGACCTTAAAATTGAGTAAACTAAGACTTATAAAAATTAAATAACTGACTCAAGTTCACATAACTAGTTTAGTGAGAGTTGAATTTGAACCCAGAATGCTAACACTAGATTATAATACTTTACAAGAAATGAGGAGGACGTTTTTAAAAACAATGGTAATAAAAGGAAAGAATATATATTTGGAATGGACAGAAGTAGGGAAGTGATGGAATTTGGAAGGTAAAGTAGAGGTCAGTTCTGAATACTAGCATGGGGCTCAGAAAATGCTGGTGACTTCTCTGCACCAGGTGCCAATCTTGCCTGCTCCCTGCGCCCCCAGTGGTGTTTCATGGAACAGCATGCTAAGGACCCCTTGGTACAGAGTCAGGGATGGAGGATGAAGGTATAGAGAGTCAGGGATGGGGGATGAAGATGGACTCCCTAATTTTGGGGCCACGCGTTCTGTGGACTGCAATATGTGTTTTTGCTGCATATGTCTTATTAGCTGTATATTCCCTTAGGAAAATGTAGAAAGTTTGGTGGATCCTTTAAATTTGACTTCTTTCCCACCGAGTGGGAAAACATTAAACTTA